ATCCGTTTAGGTGAAACCTAGGTAAGTTTACCTGGATCTCTAGGTTTATCTTAGGTTTGCTCTACTTCGTGTACTGCGCACTTTACGTAGTTGCCTTTTACTCCTTTTGGAGGGTTTTTTTTCCTTTAGACTCTGAGCTTGAACTCTGGACGATTGTTTTCGACTCAATTTCGTGGTCTTAGTTATTTTTTTTTCCTCTTTTTCCCTGGGGCACTGGTTTGTTCGAGTACAAGCTGATATACCCAAGGTTTTTCAAAGCAAATACCACTATATATATATATATATATATATATATATATATATATATATATATATATATATATATTATATTTGTGTATGTGTGTGTCAAAATACTTTTACATAATTTTGGGTCCATATAACTTTGAATATACGCTCTTTAGCGCTAGAGGGCGTGGTCAGTGATATTCTGAATTGGATCACTATGCAGTTTAGGGTCTTTATAACAACATGCTCCACTCACCAAGTCGGCCCCATCAGAGCTGATCAGTCTCTGACCAGCCCGCTGGTATTTAGCCATTCCCCCACGAGAATGAGATGTGACACAAGGTCGGATTAATGTGGGGACCCGAGCGCGTACGCCCTCTATATTAACAGCCTGCAAACACTGACTTATATATTAGGCAAACCACAACCCGCTATAACGCATTTGATTGGAAGTTGACCAACAGCCAATCACAATGGTGTGGGGTCCATTTTGAATTAAATTTTCATCTTTTTTATGTGGATACTCATCGGATATCATCGGATACTCGGAAGGTAATTATGTGTTTTCCGGGGTTTTTTTTTGTTTTTGTTTTTTTTTTAATTTCTTCCATATCCCCCATCAATTTTCATCTCGCAAGCTGATAATTACGGTTATTAAAAAAACAAAAAAAACAGGATGGACTAAAAAACAACTTAAATACAAAGTAAAATTTCAGTACTGCCTGGATAGATTACCGTAAGACATTCAATAGTCTACTCCATTCCTTGAACTTAAAGTCTTTAAAAATGTACAATCATTCATCGTCATCAATTTCTTCAAACAAAGTATGTCGATATGGAAAATAACGCTTCAATTCAATCATATAAATGAAGTTTATAAGTCTGGCGTAATAAACAACAACAGTGTCTCCTTTGTCTCCCTAACTATTTTCTGTATCCTTAACAGCATTAACCAGAGAACTTAATAGGACACCTTTGAATATACGGTCTTTAGCGCTAGAGGGCGTCGTCAGTGATGTACTGATTTGAGTCATTGGACAGTTTCGGGTCTTTCAAACATTATACTGCCCAAACGAAGTCGAACCCATCAGAGCTGATCAGTCTCTGATCCGCCTTCCAATATTAACAGCCTACAGTCACTGACCAATATTAAGCAAACCATAACCCGCTATCACGCATTTGATTGGAAGTTGACCAACAGCCAATCACAATGGTGTGAGCCCCATTTAAATTGATTACGGCGGGGGGGGGTCTTTTTTATGTGGGTATCCTGTCATTGGATACTCGGAAGGTAATTATGTTTTCCGTTGTTTTTATTGTTTTTTTTCCACATACCCCATCAATTTTAATCTTTCCTGCTAATAATTATTGTTTTTAATAAAAAAATAAGTCAACCATAAAATAATTAAAAATTGCATTGTTTTTACGATTAAAATAAATAAATTACAACTTATGCAGCCTGTTAAAACTAACATAAACATATAAATAAATGTCGTTTAAAACAAGTTGAACGAGTAAACTTAGCAAATTCTTTTAAATCTATCGATTAACGTAATAAATTAACATATGAGATTTTAAAAAAAATAACATATATCCAAAAGGCTATCCTTATACTTTAACACAGCAACACATAATATCCCCCGCTTGCTTCTACACACACATGCGCCCGTCGGATCATTGACAGGCGGATCCTTCAAATACTTCCACATTGTCAAATGATCTTGCAAATCACTCATGACACGTTGATGAAGCGTCTCTGCATTACTAATATCTTCTGCAGAAGCCATTTTTTTAGGTGCCCCCCCCCCACAAATAAAAATCCAAAGGTTTGAAGTCAGAGGAACATGCAAGCCATGGAACCTGTCCTCCCTTACCTATTCATTTTTCATGGTAGACTAGCAGTAGAGCCCGGCGTTGCCCGAGGATGTAACAGTAAGAGATAGATCAAGTATCGACCATCATAAAGACTGAAAAATAAAATTGACAAAGATTATTGTTTAAGATTGACGGACACGCATGTCTTAATTAGTTTTTTTGTTGTTTTTGTTTTACGAATTGGTCAAACCCAAACTCAAACAAAAACATTGTTTTCAATCGTTATGAGTCTCCCGATTGAATAGAATTTTATTATAAACAATTGTCTTGTAAATGGAATTTTTAAAGCATTCTGAATGTAAAAATAAGGAAAAAAGTGACAAGACAATAAGAAAAACTACCTGCCAAAAAAAAAAAGTTTTGTTGAAATCGGTTGAAAAATGTAGGAAATCCGATTCCATATATAAACGAACACACACAAACAACCAGGGTTTTATAATAAGTATAACTCGATATGAATTGTCCCCCTTTCATTCTGGCGACAGAATCGTGTTTTATCGTGTTTTCAAATTGATTTCGTGTAAAAACAATTGTGTTTTTCCAATTTTTGGCGCTGTCAGAACCACCTTAAGGTAATTTTACGCAGTCCTGTGAAGTTTTGTTGAAATCGGTTGAAAAATGTAGGAAATACGATCCAATATATAAACGTACACACACACACACACGCACACACACACAGACACACACACAATCTGAGTTTTATAATAAGTAAGATGTCAGTGTCGCAGACAATGTGACTTAAATGTGCTGGAGCCCCATCATAAATGAACCACATCCGTATTCGTATTAGCCGGGGTACATCCTCTAGCAGGTCTGGAAGTGTGTTTGAAACAGTCCATGTAGACAGCCCTGTAAGACGTACTGGGGAACATATGGACCTACCAGACAGTCATTTACAATTCCAACCCACACGTTATTCCTAAACTGCTACAGGTGCCTAGCCTGTATTGCACCATGGAGATTCCGAGTCGCGCACAAATATTGATTTTCTGCATTTGTTATTCCATGTCTCCCAAATGTTGTTTCATTTGTAAACAAGACTGGATAGACAAAAAACAGACCGGAAGTTTGTGAAATAAAAATCGGCAAAAGTTCTCCCGTGGTGAGTGATCAGAGGGCGAAAGACCCTGCCTCACACTGATAATTATACGGATACAGGAGCAGCTGTTGAAGTACCCTACATGTGGTACAACAGATGTACAACATGCTAGGCCCACTTGACGTGTGCTGGTACATAGATCGTCTCCGATAGCCTGTAGAATGTGTTCTTCGTGGTCAGGCGTAGATGTGGTTGTCGGTCTTCCTCGAACCATAGTTTTGGTGCTACGGATCATCTCTCTGTAGCAAAGGTTGAATGACTCGGCTGCCTTCGGTCTGGAAAAACAATCTCATACAGCCGTGCAGCCACACGTCCATTACAATTCGCATGGTAGTATGTAAAAATCATATATGCCTGCTCACATATCCTGCTATTGCAAAATTTAATTTGTATATGAACACAAGAATTTTGTCGTAGTAAAAATAAGACCCTGATGATGACATTGTACTAATGTCGAAAGTACTCGGAACAAGATGCATCAAAATGGTAACGTTCTTTCTTCTTTTCATAAGGATACTAAGAAACTTCTCCGTACTTATGAGCGGGTTCTCTTAACAATAAGTAAACAAAACTTGAATAAATTATTTAATGAGACATGTCGTAACATTGCGTGTTTATTTGAAGAATAAATACGTAAAAAATTCGCATTCCTCTATTCCGCTCATGGCTCAGGGGTAAAATCTCCGACTGCGGCCAATTCTGTCGGGTTTCGATCCAGGCTTAATGCAA